CCGGAAGGGCTTGCATACCACGCACAGGCGCCTCCTGTCTGCAGACCTATCTCCGTGCACCAGCTGTGCTTCTGAGTGGACCACCAACCAGCACTCCTACAGGCGACCTGTGCAACTTTGGGCCAGACTCCCACTGTCCCACTCTCAGGGGAGTCCGGAACTTAGCCGCAAGGGAAGCCCTCTCTCCATTGGCCTCCATCACCAGGTACGTGATACGTACACATACTAGGACCAATCTAGATGGCAGCTAATTAACCTACCAGCATGTCCTTAAGCTGGCCATAGATGGAGTGATGTGTTTTCCTGCGACCACGGGAAATCCTTCCCACGTAGCCATTCTGTTTTCCCGGAGAGGGGGCGAGGGGAGCCATGCCCGCTGAGAGAACACAGTGATTACTGCTTGTGGCTATAATAGCTGCTGAGCCAATGAGGAGAGAGCAAGAGGACGGGGCCAAGTCTTATGGTCGCACAGAGCAGCGGCTCGGGAGCTAGCACGTAGCGGTGCCTCCAGGGCAAGTGGCTTTATGTCAGGTCTAAATGCTGCGGAGGATAGAAGGATGGAGGAATTTGAGTGCAAAAGAAAGAGAGTCCATTCAAAAGAAGGCCAATCAGGAATTAAAGGGACCAAAGGCTGTTATGAGCAGCCCCCAATGGCGTATTCAACACAAGGCAAATAAGGCGTTTGCCTAGGGTGGCAATTTTCAGGGGGTGGGTGCTGCCCCCCCGGAGGAAGGGATAAAAATGGCAGGGATATGGACCTGGGTTTTTTTTTCTGCGGGAACACGGGGGAACGCAGTTCTGGAACCTCCAGCACTGAATGTATGTAATGGCAAGGGGTGGTGCAGTGTGATGGAGGATCCATTGTTTCTGGGGAGGTCCATTGTTGCTTGTGGGGGATCTATTATTTATGGGCGGTCTTATATTAGGAGGGGTAAATTGTTTCTGGGAGGGATCTACTGTTGAGAGACGGATCTACTGTTGAGGGAGGGACTTATTGTTGCTGGGGAGGTATATTGTTGCTTGTGGGGTATTTATTGTTGCTGAGTGGTCTTAAATTGGGGGGGAGACTGTGACCTGCTGGAGGGTGCGGGGATGGCTGTCTGCTTCTTTCATTCTAGAGGTTAAGGTGATGTGTGTTGGTTGGTGGTGGGGGGGGGGGGGTTGTGTTGTTGGGTGGTGGGGGGGGGATGTTGTGGTGGTGGTGGGGTGGGGGTGTTGTTTTGTTGGTGGGGGGGGATGTGTGTTGGTGGGGGGTGGGGGATGTATGTGGTGTGGTGGTGGTGGGGGGGTGGGGGTGTTGGTTTTTGGTGGGGGTGGGGGTTTTGTGTTGGTTGGTGGTGGGGGGGTTGGGGGGGGTGGGGTTTGTGGTTGGTTGGTGATGGTTGGGGTGGGGGGGGGGATGTGTGTTGTTGGGGGGTGGTGTTTGGGGTGGGGGGGTGGGGTTTGGTTGGTTGGGGGTGTGGGGTTGGGGTGGTGGGGGGTTTGTTGGTTTGGGGGTGTGGGGGGGGTGGGGGTGGGGGGTGGGGGATGGGGTTTTGTGTGTTGTTGGGTTTGGTTGGGGGGGATTTTGGGGGTTGGGTGTGGGGGGGGATGTGTGTTGGTGTGGTGGGGGGGGGTGGTGGTGGTAGTGGGTTGGGTGGTGGGGGGGGATGTGTGTTGGTGGTGGTGGGTGGTGGGGGGTGTTACTGGTGGAGGGCACCCAATTTTAGTTTTCCCTAGGGACAGCACATAAACTAAATACACCACCGGATACAGTACACTGAATGAGCGTTGTCACCCTAGACCAGGAACTGTGTCACCGGCCGGGTCACCAACTGAAAATACAGCCTGTAGAAACAAAACGAATGCAGCCGACACATCTAGGAATCAGTCAGCTCCAATATATAAATTTTTCTTCTTGGATTTATATACTTTAATGAATGGCCACTCTTCTCCATAGAATCCTGAATGCAGCATGTGCCATGCATCTGATCTTCCGCTTATTAGAATGGTCACCTTGGAAACTCCGCTGGAATCCAATCATTTACGGCTAACACATCATACCCGGCTTCCCTTCCAAGAACATTTCTTTGCTCAGTCACCCTTGGAAAATTCTACAAGTCCAGAAACAAAATTTAATTACCGAGATGTACTTTTGACTAAAAGTTTTGCACGAAGGTCAGCAGACCGCCGCGGAATCATCGGCTCAGCATAGTTCTGGGTTAAAAGGACTCTGAAGATGACGATGGTGTCACCGGCTGCAATTGAATGAATGCGTTCCTCTCTGCAAGGATCAGCTGTTTCGAGAGCTCTGCATTAAAATGCAAAGAGCTGGATTTTGAGTGACGGGAACAAGGACCTCTTGTAGGTACTCGGTTACCAACAAGTCTACGACACGTCAGACAGATGCTCCGAGCAACATTCTGTCCTTAACCCGCTCAACGCTTCACCAGCAACATGCTGGACTAATGGCTTTTCAGATGATACATAACATTCACTTAACACCTGGGGAGCCATTTTGCAGCAGTCGTTGGCCATGACATTGCCGTAACAATGTATTCTATGGAAGGAGGACCTAAAGGACGAGGACACCCAGGTCCAGGGCAGGAACGTTTTAGTGGCATGGCAGATGTTCGATAGTAGTAGAAAGCAGAACAATGTCTGTTCGGCAGCATGCTGATTTTCGGGGCTGGCAACCTGGTGACCTTGGCTCAGGGCCACTGTGCCAAAACAAGGAAAAACCCAGAAACCATATTATATTGGGGGTCAGTTGTTGCAGGGAGGGTTCTAGTGTTGAGAGAGGGATCTATTATTGCTGGGGAGGTATATTGTTTCTGGGAGGGATCTAGTGTTGAGAGGGATCAACTGTTGATGGAGGGATCTATTGGGGTTGGGGAGGTATTGTTGCTTGTGGGGGATTTATTGTTGCTGGGTGGTCTTATATTGGGGGGTCAGTTGTTGCTGGGAGGGATCTACTGTTGAAGGAGGGATCTAATGTTTCTGGGGTATCTATTGTTGCTGGCTTCAGGGGATCTGTTGTACTGCTTTTCTCCTTATCATTACTGTACTGGTAGCTGTACTGGGAGGTGGGTAGGGGGTGGAACCAAAGGGATGGTGCTCAGAGGTGAGGGTGGTTGAGACAATGGGTGGGTCAGAAGGGGGGAGTACTTGCACCTATTCTCTGAGAAAAAAATCCCTGGCAGGAGGTACCGCCACCAAACATGACCCATTCAAGTCCCATGGGAACTGACCGCAACCATGCTGCAACCGCATCTCTTGCACCAGGTTGCTGCATGGTGCAGCCGGGTTTCAATAGTTAGAGCAGGTGTCCATGTTGCCTCCAAGCTGCCTGTCAACTTCCCTCTAAAAAGTGATCCACTGGGGATGGAGGGCACTGCGAGTGTAAATGAGGCCCTAAAGAGGCCAAACCCAACAGCGGGTCTATGGGGTCTATCAGTGCGGTTCCGACTTGGTCAGAGCCGCACCGTTTCCTAAAATGACGCATGCACTACTTAAGCTGCGACTTGCATAGACATCTGTGTCAGATGCCTTACAGATCCCACCTCAAATCGGCAGGTCATCCGACTTTGAAATCGTTCAACTTCACTGTAAGTCGCACGATTTCAAAGTTGGGATGGGTGTGGCGGGGGGGGGGGTATTGTGTGAGTGCCTCATTTTGTCATTTTAAACTGGTTTGAAGGCACCAGGATCTGTACCAACAGAGCAGCGGCAGGCCCTTCGATCTCCAGCTGATGCGGGTAGAAAGTCGCTCACACCTGCGACTGCCATGTTATCCTGCCAGGTCACAGCTGTGACGCTCCCTTTACAAGATCTGCTCATGAATAATGAGGAGCCACACTTGACCGTGCAAACAGGACAAACCTCCGTCACAGATGATGAAAGCGCACTCTGGGGGGGGGGGGAGCAGCATGGAGGCAGGTTAGCACTTGTCATCTCTAGCTGGGTAGGGGCGATGCCAAGCGCTCCCCTGGAATTCGACTGACAGAAGGGCAGGCCGCTGCATAGATTTCCCAGGGGAGGAGCAACGTGTCGCACAAAATTGCTTCAGCCAAAAAGATGTGACTGGAACTAATTGAAATGGAAGATCAGAGAGGCTGGCGAGGCGCGACTCCGTTCTGTTAACTCTTGCGAGTGCCACTTCCCGCCTTGGCCAACACCTGCACACGGCGGCGAAGCCATTTTGCGCACCGAAGAAGTTTTCAACGAAATTCAAGTCTTTCCTTATAAATAAGTCATATCGTTGACCATCGCCATTTTCTCCCCAAAGCTTTTGGATGCAACTGCAGTTTGGCCAGGGACTAGTCACTTGACTGAGGTCCAAGATGGTCGTTTTGTGGTCTTGGCTCAACAATCATGATACAGTACAAGAGATTTTAGACCAATTAACCCAAAGGTTTGTATCTGGGAGGATTATTTGTCCTTATATGGGGTACCAACATTCCTCGTACCTTGTTTTAAATAGAAAAAAAGCAAGCTTATATGGGACTTTTAGGGTAACTTGCGTATATAACCCAAGGTTCTGGTCACCATAGTGAGCTATGGAGACCAGAAGCATAAAGAAGGTGCCATGGTGACCAAATGGAAGGTTCCATTATGGTAGATGTCCAAGGAATGCCCTTTTTATTTCAGAGAACACAACATTGTAAGACCATTAAGGACCTCTGGTCAGGTCACTGCTGCCTGAGGAAGGGGTCCATGGTGTCTTGGAAACATTCTCCATGAGTAACAGATAAATGTTTTGTCTGTATTTTTAAGTATGGTGTGCTGGTGATATTGCATTCTTTGGATGTCTTCCATAATGGAACCGTCCATCTGGTCACCATAGCACCCACTTTATGGTTCTGGTCACTGTAGCTCACTATGGTGAGCAGTAGAGATGAGCGAAATATTCAAAAATTCGATTCGACTGATTCGGCGAATTCGTGGACAATATTCGATTCGAGTCGAATATATTCGCTGTGAATTTAACTTAAAGGGTGTTTCTAGGCTTCAGAGAGACTTAATATTAGTGCAGAACACTGTACCTTTAATTTAAATGCCCTTGGAGTCTGCTGGGGAAGAGAAATAATACTGTCTGTCAGTATGACATGCAGATGATGCGTGCCGTCGATCTTAGAATCACCGCACACTTCACTCATTTGGCCAGTCACGGGGCCAAAACCAGTGTTTGGATCCACAGTGTGGCGGTGGAGGCAGCAGCAATGGGAGGCCATACAGCAACCTATGACAAAATGGAAACCAGCAGGAGTGTGAGGAGACCTCAAAGTGGCACATGGCAGAGTGGGAGCAATGGGAGGTGGTACAGGGACCCATGTCACACTGTGGACCCATCAGCAGCGTGACGAGGCGGTACGGGGGCCCATGGCAGATTTGGGGCCTGGCAGCACCTATGGGAGGCCTGTAATCTGCCAGCACCCTATGACAAAATGGAAACCAGCAGGAGTGTGAGGAGACCTGAAAGTGGCACATGGCAGAGTGGGAGCAATGGGAGGCGGTACAGGGACCCATGTCACACTGTGGACCCAGCAGCAGCGTGACCAGGCGGTACGGGGGCCCATGGCAGATTACAGGCCTGCAAGCAGCAGCAATGGGAGGCCCGTAATCTGTCAGCACCCTATGACAAAAAATGGAACACACCAGCAGTGTGTGAGGAGACCTGAAAGTGGCACATGGCAGAGTGTGGCGATGGAGACAGCAGCAATGGGAGGCCGTACAGGGACCCATGACAGACTCTGGACTTGGCAGCAGCATGAGGAGGCGGTATAGGGGCCCATGGCAGATAGGGGCCTGGCAGCAGCTATGGGAGGCCCGTAATCTGCCAGCACCCTATGTCAAAAAATTGAACACACCAGCAGTGTGAGGAGACCTGAAAGTGGCACATGGCAGAGTGTGGCGATGGAGACAGCAGCAATGGGAGGCCGTACAGGGACCCATGAGAGACTCTGGACTTGGCAGCAGCATGAGGAGGCGGTATAGGGGCCCATGGCAGATTAGGGGCCTGGCAGCAGCTATGGGAGGCCCGTAATCTGCCAGCACCCTATGACAAAAAATGGAACACACCAGCAGTGTGAGGAGACCTGAAAGTGGCACATGTTTGAGGCATGATTCATGGCGGATTTAGTCAGTTGTGTCAGGAACTGGTGATTTGAAATCCAGACTAATGCACGCCTGATTCATTTTCACAAACGTGAGTCTCTCCACACTTTGGGTGGACAGTCGTGTCCTCCGCGGAGTTGCAAAACCTCCTGCCGCACTAAACACGCGCTCCGATGCCACGCTACTGGCCGGGCATGACAGCCTTTCAAGGGCAAATTCAGCTAGTTGGGGCCAAAGGTCAAGTTTCGTTGCCCAGTAGTCAAGGGGATTGTCTACCTCGGTTGGCAGGGTGCTGTCCAAGTAGGCCCAAGCCTGTTGTTTGAGGTCCTGCTCCAGGTCCACCTGATGCTGCTGCTGCTGCTGCTGCGGCTGGTTAGTAGTTTCCTCACTGCGCTGGTGAAGAAAGCTACTCATCATCGACTGCAGACTGAGGCAGCTGCTGCTGGTGAAGCTGCCACTGCTCCTACCACCCCACCCCTCCCCTGCTGCCATGGCAGCGGAACGCGAGCGCACAGGGCCCACAGTGTCCTGAGGATGGACGTTGGCGCAGAAAGGCAGAGACCAACTGACTACATAGGTGGTTTTTATAGTACGTTATTTTGGCCTCCCTCTCAGCAGGTGTGAAAAAGGCCACCATTTTGGAACGGTAGCGAGGGTCCAACAAGGTGGACAGCCAAAAGTCATCCCTCTGTCTGATGGTTATTATTCGGCTGTCGGTACGCAAGCAAGCGAGCATGCTATGGGCCATTTGTGCCAAGGAATGCGAGGGACTCCCTGCCTCCATCTCCACAGCATACTGCCACGGTGCGTCTGGGTCCTCTGTCTCTTCCTCCTCCTCTACCAGATGCTCCTGCTCCTCCACTCCTGTCCGCTGAGTGGAAAAAACCACCCATTTCACTCAATAATTCCTGAGCACCAATGTCCTCCTCTACCTCCTCCTCTTCTTCCTGTCCTGCCCCCACAGGGGTCATGTGGCGTTGAGATCTGTGCGCACGTCTACCGCACCCTGACCAGCCATTATTAACAGCATTTGTTCCAGGACGTGCAACAGAGGAATGACGTCGTTCATCCCATAGTCCTGCCGACTCACGAATAGCGTGGCCTCCTCAAGGGCCTGAGCAAGCGCAGGTGTCACGCATGAGCTGCCAATGGCTGACATCTAAGTTACACAGGGAGTACCTTTATCCGCTTGTAACATCAGGAAATCGGTGATGGCCTTTTGCTGTTCGTAAAGGCGGTCTAACATATGTAGGGTTGAATTCCACCTTGTTGCAACGTCACAGCATGAGGAGTCAGTACGGGGGCCCATGGCAGATTACGGGCCTGGCAGCAGCAATGGGAGGCCCGTAATCTGCCAGCACCCTATGTCAAAAAATTCAACACACCAGCAGTGTGTGAGGAGACCTGAAAGTGGCACAGGGCAGAGTGTGGCGATGGAGACAGCAGCAATGGGAGGCCGTACAGGGACCCATGAGAGACTCTGGACCTGGCAGCAGCATGAGGAGGCGGTATAGGGGCCCATGGCAGATTAGGGGCCTGGCAGCAGCTATAGGAGGCCCGTAATCTGCCAGCACCCTATGTCAAAAAATTCAACACACCAGCAGTGTGAGGAGACCTGAAAGTGGCACATGGCATGAGACACTGTGGACCTGGCAGCAGCATGAGGAGGCGGTACAGGGGCCCATGGCAGATTAGGGGCCTGGCAGCAGCTATGGGAGGCCCGTAATCTGCCAGCACCCTATGTCAAAAAATTCAACACACCAGCAGTGTGTGAGGAGACCTGAAAGTGGCACATGGCAGAGTGTGGCGATGGAGACAGCAGCAATGGGAGGCCGTACAGGGACCCATGAGAGAGAGACTCTGGGACTGGACCCTGGCAGCAGCATGAGGAGGCGGTTATAGGGGCCCATGGCAGATTAGGGGCCTGGCAGCAGCTATAGGAGGCCCGTAATCTGCCAGCACCCTATGTCAAAAAAATTCAACACACCAGCAGTGTGAGGAGACCTGAAAGTGGCACATGGCATGAGACACTGTGGACCTGGCAGCAGCATGAGGAGGTGGTACAGGGGCCCATGGCAGATTAGGGGCCTGGCAGCAGCTATGGAGGCCCGTAATCTGCCAGCACCCTATGTCAAAAAATTCAACACACCAGCAGTGTGAAGAGACCTGAATGTGGCACATGGCAGAGTGTGGCGATGGAGACAGCAGCAATGGGAGGCCGTACAGGGACCCATGACAGACTCTGGACTTGGCAGCAGCATGAGGAGGCGGTATAGGGGCCCATGGCAGATTAGGGGCCTGGCAGCAGCTATGGAGGCCCGTAATCTGCAGCACCCTATGTCAAAAAAATTCAACACACCAGCAGTGTGAGGAGACCTGAAAGTGGCACATGGCATGAGAGACTGTGGACCTGGCAGCAGCATGAGGAGGCGGTATAGGGGCCCATGGCAGATTAGGGGCCTGGCAGCAGCTATGGGAGGCCCGTAATCTGCCCAGCACCCTATGTCAAAAAATTCAACACACCAGCAGTGTGTGAGGAGACCTGAAAGTGGCACATGGCAGAGTGTGGCGATGGAGACAGCAGCAATGGGAGGCCGTACAGGGACCCATGACAGACTGTGGACCTGGCAGCAGCATGAGGAGGCGGTACAGGGGCCCATGGCAGATTAAGGCCTGGCAGCAGCAATGGGATGCCCCGTAATCTGCCAGCACCCTATGACAAAATGGAACCCTGGGCTGGGGCAGGCAGAACCGCCGTATCTTTATCACGGTTTTCCCAGGCCACCGAATGGCGACTCTGCATATGCTGACGCAACGCTGTAGTCCCAACATGGGCCCCCTGGCCACGCTTGACTTTCTGGCCACATAGTCGACATACGGCTACGTTTACTTCCTCGGGCGGCTTGACGAAAAAATTGCCACACCACCGAGTAGGAAACTTTGCCCCCGCTACTCCTCACTGGCTGACTGCTACTTCCTCCGTGCACACCGGCACCACTACTGGCCGTGTGGTGGTAGGCTGCAGTGGAGCTGGTGCTCTACTCCGTGGCCGTTTGCCTCCACTGACACTGCTGCGACCCTGCTGCCTCCTGGCAGCAGCAATGGGAGGCCGTACAGGGACCCATGACACACTCTGGACCTGGCAGCAGCATGAAGAGGCGGTAACAGGGGCCCATGGCAGATTACGTGCCTGGCAGCAGCAATGGGAGGCCCGTAATCTGCCAGCACCCTATGACAAAAAATGGAACACACCAGCAGTGTGAGGAGACCTGAAAGTGGCAACATAGCAGTGTGGGCGATGGAGACAGCAGCAATGGGAGGCCGTACAGGGACCCATGAGAGACTCTGGACCTGGCAGCAGCATGAGGAGGCGGTACGGGGGGCCCATGGCAGATTACGGGCTGGCAGTAGCAATGGGAGGCCCGTAATCTGCCAGCACCCTATGACAAAATGGAACACACCAGCAGTGTGAGGAGACCTGAAAGTGGCACATGGCAGAGTGTGGCGATGGAGACAGCAGCAATGGGAGGCCGTACAGGGACCCATGAGAGACTCTGGACTTGGCAGCAGCATGAGGAGGCGGTATAGGGGCCCATGGCAGATTAGGGGCCTGGCAGCAGCTATGGGAGGCCCGTAATCTGCCAGCACCCTATGTCAAAAAATTCAACACACCAGCAGTGTGTGAGGAGACCTGAAAGTGGCACATGGCAGAGTGTGGCGATGGAGACAACCCACCGACTGTTTTGCTCGCTGCCAAAGCTGCCACCCTCTTCTCCTGATGATGCGGAAGCAATAGCCTGATGACGACGAGGCTGCCAAGTGCGATCAGCCTCATCATCATCAATTAGGGTCTCCGCCTCACTACTAGCCCCCTCGGCTGCGTGTGGGTCAGGAGACAGACCTGTCTCTAGACCGGCTACCGAGCCACTCTCCCTCGCCACTACTTACTTCTCGCCTGGCTGCTGAAGAGGCGGATGTCTCCCCCCGTTCCTGACCGCCCTCTGTTAGCTCTTCCTCACTGTACTGGATGACACCGGGGAGCACTAGCCTCTGGCTGCGAATAGTGCTGCCTCGACCCCTTCCTCTGCTGCCACGTCTGCTCGCTCCTAAAACATTGCCTCCTCTGCCACTCCTCTGCATGTTGTCTGACATACTCTTTAATTAAAACGATTCTGTGTCCCTGAGTAACAATTCTGTGTCCCTGAGTAACGTTTCTGTGGCCCTAAGTAACAGTTTTGTGGCCCTAAGTAACAGTTCTGTGGCCCTCAGTAACAATTCTGTGGCCCTCAGTAACAATTCTGTGTCCCTCAGTAACAATTCTGTGTCCCTCAGTAACAATTCTGTGTCCCTCAGTAACAATTCTGTGTCTGTCCCTGAGTAACAATTCTGTGTCTGTCCCTGAGTAACAATTCTGTGTCCCTGAGTAACGTTTCTGTGGCCCTAAGTAAACATTTCTGTGGCCCTCAGTAACAATTCTGTCTGTCCCTGAGTAGCAATTCTGTGTCTGTCCCTGAGTAACAATTCTGTGTCCCTCAGTAACAATTCTGTGTCCCTCAGTAACAATTCTGTGTCCCTGAGTAACAATTCTGTGTCTGTCCCTGAGTAAGAATTCTGTGTCTGTCCCTGAGTAACAATTCTGTGTCCCTGAGTAACGGTTCTATGGCCCTCAGTAACAATTCTGTGTCCCTGAGTAACGTTTCTGTGGCCCTAAGTAACAATTCTGTGGCCCTCAGTAACAATTCTGTGTCCCTGAGTAACGTTTCTGTGGCCTTAAGTAACAATTCTGTGGCCCTCAGTAACAATTCTGTGTCTGTCCCTGAGTAACAATTCTGTGGCCCTAAGTAACGGTTCTGTGGCCCTCAGTAACAATTCTGTGTCCCTGAGTAACAATTCTGTGTCTGTCCCTGAGTAACAATTCTGTGGCCCTAAGTAACGGTTCTGTGGTCCTCAGTAACAATTCTGTGTGTCCCTGAGTAACAATTCTGTGCCCTAAGTAACGGTTCTGTGGCCCTCAGTAACAATTCTGTGTCCCTGAGTAACAATTCTGTGGCCCTCAGTAACAATTCTGTGTCTGTCCCTGAGTAACAATTCTGTGGCCCATAACTAACGTTTCTGTGGCCCTCAGTAACAGTTCTGTGGCCCTCAGTAACAATTCTGTGGCCCTAAGTAACGGTTCTGTGGCCCTCAGTAACAATTCTGTGTCTGTGCGAGTAACAATTCTGTGGCCCTAAGTAACAATTCTGTGGCCCTCAGTAACAATTCTGTGTCTGTCCCTGAGTACACAATTCTGTGGGGGGGGGCCCTAACTAACGTTTCTGTGGCCCCTCAGTAACAGTTCTGTGGCCCTCAGTAACAATTCTGGTATGGCCCTGAGTAACGTTTCTGTGGCCCTAAGTAACAATTCTGTGGCCCTCAGTAACAATTCTGTCTGTCCCTGAGTAACAATTCTGTGGCCCCTAACTAGCGTTTCTGTGGCCCTCACTAACAATTCCTCTGTCCCCTGAGTAACGTTTCTGTGGCCTTAAGTAACAATTTCTGTGGCCCTCAGTAACAATTCTGTGTCTGTCCCTGAGTAACAATTCTGTGGCCCTAAGTAACGGTTCTGTGGCCCTCAGTAACAATTCTGTGTCCCTGAGTAACAATTCTGTGTCTGTCCCTGAGTAACAATTCTGTGGCCCTAAGTAACGGTTCTGTGGTCCTCAGTAACAATTTCTGTGTCCCTGAGTAACAATTCTGTGGCCCTAAGTACGGTTCTGTGGCCCTCAGTAACAATTCTGTGTCCTGAGTAACAATTCTGTGGCCCTCAGTAACAATTCTGTGTCTGTCCCTGAGTAACAATTCTGTGGCCCTAACTAACGTTTTCTGTGGCCCTCAGTAACAGTTCTGTGGCCCTCAGTAACAATTCTGTGGCCCTAAGTAACGGTTCTGTGGCCCTCAGTAACAATTCTGTGTCTGTGCGAGTAACAATTCTGTGGCCCTAAGTAACAATTCTGTGGCCCTAAGTAACAATTCTGTGGCCCTCAGTAACAATTCTGTGTCTGTCCCTGAGTAACAATTCTGTGGCCCTAACTAACGTTTCTGTGGCCCTCAGTAACAGTTCTGTGCCCTCAGTAACAATTCTGTGGCCCTGAGTAAAACGTTTCTGTGGCCCTAAGTAACAATTTCTGTGTGGCCCTCAGTAAACCCTCAGTAACAATTCTGTCTGTCCTGAGTAACAATTCTGTGGCCCTAACTAGCGTTTCTGTGGCCCTCACTAACAATTCTCTGTCCCCTGAGTAACGTTTCTGTGTCCCTAACTCTGTCCCTAATACAGAGAGGTCTGCCTCTCTTGATGTGTAAAGATGGCCATAAATGGAATGAACTTTGGCTGGCTCAGCAGGGACCGGCCAAATTGTAATCTAGGGGCCGAGTGGTTGTACTGAATTTGGTCCATCAATTGACTTCAGTATGACCAGTCTGTTGGATTTTTTGGCATTGATCGTTGTATTCTGATGGCTGGGAAACCTCCCGCTGTCAGAATACAAAATCTCCATGGGAGGGATTCCCCCATCAACGCTGACTGTGTTAATGGGGGAATTGAGCAATTTTCTTTCTTTCAACTCATGCTTGCAGGAAAGAAAATTACTTAATGTGTGGTCTGCTTAAGGCTTGAAGGTGGTCAACGTGTGACACAAGGGCATAGACAAGCAGGAGGATAGGGGGGTTCAGAACCCTCCCAGAGCATCCGCGGTGACACAGCAAGCACTGAAACCAGGTGCGCACTCAAAGCCCTGCAACTGCCGTTCCTGCTGCCTGTGAAGTTTTAGAGACAGGCAGCGGCAGTTCAGAGAAAGGGAAGCTCTCCTTATAACCTTTTCTGCTTCGGTCACATGACACAGTCAAGGGAGGTCTTCCATTCAGTCAGCTCACTCTGAACTTCTTGTCCTGGTGAGTATGTTTCTTGGAGAGGGAAGAGCTCTACCGGGGTGAGAGATCCATACTGGGGATAGATCTGGGAGAAATTTTGGTTGGGGAGGGAGGACATTTTTTTTGTGCTCTGTCTACTAACCTGTGCATTACACACTGCTGACACTATGTATCCTGTACATAGTGGGGTGGATTTACTTAAAAGCAAATAGACTGTGCACTCTGAAAGTGCAGTTGCTCCAGGGCTTAGTGAATGAGGGGAAGCTCTACTGATTTCGATCAACCAATCATGTGCAAGCAAAAATGCTGTTTTTTTTTTGTACGGTTGGGTATTCTTTGCAAAGTAAAGCTTCATCTCATTTACTAAGCTCTGAAGTAACTGAGCAGCATGCACGGTCTATTTGCCTTTAGTAAATCCACCCCAGTGAGTAGGCCCAAGGCTGAGCCCTCCCGGTAAAAAAAGTTCTACGGTGCTGATGTGACATACTTACACCAACACTATCTACACATTTATAAGGTGACAATATCACTCTATCCAAAAATGAAAGTTTTGTATTAAGGTACAATTTTGGGTAAAGATACAATTTTCAGTAAAGATACAATTTGGGTAATGATGCCATTTTAGGTCATTTTAAATTTTTGAGTAATACACTTTAATAAGGTGACAATATTGCTCTCTCCAAAATGAGAAACAAAAGGGTTTGGGTAAAGATACAATTTTAGGTAATTATACAATTTTAGGTAAAAATATAATTTTGGGTAAAGTTGCAATTTTGGGTAATGATACAATTTTAGGTAATTATACAATTTTAGGTAAAGATGCAATTTTGGGTAAAGATATAATTTTGGGTAAAGTTACAATTTTGGGTAACGATACAATTTTGGGTAAATATACAATTTAGGGTAAAGGTACAATTTTGGGTAACGATACAATTTTGGGTAATTATTAGAGATGAGCGAAGTATTCAAAAATTCGATTCGGCTGATTTGGCGAATTTCAGGAAGAAATTCGATTCGATGCGAATTTCTTCGCTACGAAGATGACTTATAAAAAGGGTTTCTAGGCTTCAGAGAGCCTTTAAATTAGTGCAGAACACTGTACCTTTAATTTAAATGCCCTTGGAGATGAGGAAGGAGAAGGAGAAGGATGAGAAGAAGGAGAAGGAGAAGGATGAGAGAAGGAGAAGAAGAAGAGAAGGATGAGAAGAAGAAGGAGAAGGATGAGAAGAAGGAGAAGGAGAAGGAGAAGGAGAAGGATGAGAAGAAGGAGAAGGAGAAGGATGAGAAGAAGGAGAAGGAGAAGGATGAGAAGAAGGAGAAGGAGAAGGATGAGAAGGATGAGAAGGAGAAGGATGAGAAGAAGAAGGAGAAGGATGAGAAGAAGGAGAAGGATGAGAAGAAGGAGAAGGAGAAGGAGAGAAGGAGAAGGAGAAGAAGGATGAGAAGAAGAGATGAGAGAGGAGAAGAAGGATGAGAAGAAGGATGAGAAGAAGGAAGAAGGATGAGAAGAAGGAGAAGGAGAAGGATGAGAAGAAGGAGAAGGAGAAGGATGAGAAGGATGAGAAGAAGGAGAAGGATGAGAAGAAGGAGAAGGATGAGAAGAAGGAGAAGGATGAGAAGAAAGAAGGAGAAGAGAAGGA